AAGTTATTTCAAATTTCCCTGCCTTTTCTTCAAAATGTCAATTTTCCCTAACTCAAAATAAAATTCCCTGACTTTTTCCTGACCTTGAAGGATTTTATTTTTTCCCTGCCAATTTCCTAACCTATGGCAACCCTGACTAGAGTACCGTGGGGGCATGAGACGCTCTCAGAGGAGAAAAGCCGGAGTCAAAAAGAGTGACAAATCATTTTGTCTCGCTTCAAAATTGGATGGCTTAAAGTAGAGAATGGCAGATAGTTGTGCCACACCACAGTGCACAACATCACCAATAGTGGGCACATTAATATTGTTGCAGCAATGTTTTTGTTTGTTTGTTTTGTTGTTGTCATTGTTGCACCAATGTTGGAGAAGTAGAATCTCATTCTACCTCTGCACAACACTGCACCTCACTGTGCTTCCACTTTTGTGCTTAAATGTCTAGTGCTCCAGTGAGTCTTTCTAAAAGTCTAAGCTAAACGATTGAAGAAAATTATTACAAAATAGAGGGTCGTGAACAGTTCATAGCTTAATCCTACAGTCAAGAGTCTGGCCCAGATAATACAAAAGATTACGACTCACCTCTATTAACTGGTGAACACTTTGCAGTAAGGAAGGTGGGGATGATGTGTCAGTTAGTTTGCCAGAGTTTTCATATTTAAACCTGATGAAAGGAAACAAAATACATGTAGAAAACTTCATATGAAGCACCACTCAATGAGTACTGCAAAATCATTCCAAAAACTAACTTGAGTTCTCTGGCATCTTTCTTCAGGTCAATTCTGGCAGACAATTCCCGCAGGCTGACGGCGGAGTCCTGTGCTATTCGAGACAATGAGGTGAGGACGTCATCTGCCAGGTGCTGAGACAAGATATTCTAAAGATGTGTTGGAAGAAAATTAATTGTTCATCAACAAATTTAGTGAATCTACTCAGTATTTACACATGGGTGTCAAGATACAGTTGAACCTCCACAAGATACTCTACTGGAACATCCAAAAGATATGTACAAGATACAGTCAAACCTCTGCCACTCCTCAAAGCAGACACCTCTTGGACACTTAAGTTCATCATGACTCAAGGATCAAGCCACATACAAACCCTACATTAATTTTTCAACCTCCCATAGCCTGAAGTGCAAGCCTCAAAAATTAACTCTTCTTTGCACCCTGTAACACCTCTCCAACAGGCGTGTATTAACTAGTACATGTACTTTCAACATACCATACTTACATGCTTACTAGTTACAAAACTGTATTTTCAAGACACTTACATACTGACTATTTACAAAACAAAACAAACCTCTACTCCAGTCCACAACTGATCTTTAACCTTTCTCTGACTGCTGTCATCAATTCTAACAAAATTATTAATACAAACAAATTCAGAACTGACCATGAGTTGGGCCTTTTCAACTTGTAACCACTCTAGATCAACTACACTTGTAGTGAAGTTCTTGTTATGTCTTTAAGCTTGGCAAGTGCACAAATAGTGTAAACAGGCCAGCCTGTATGCCACTACATTGTACTTTGAGTAATATTTCAAATGCTACTGTATGAGTATACCACTTGAACAAAGACTGCTGAAAAAGAGAGAAACAAGATGGAGTGGAAGAGTTGCAGGGCTGTCATTAAGTTGTTAGTCCGGCTGTAGCCTTGTTCTCCACACCCGTAGCAATTTTGATACTTGTGGGTGAATTCTATCAACAACAGGCAATTTCACCCCTAGCATCAAAGGAAAATCAAGCATACTCAGCCGTAAACAGGTGCTACAGGTTGCCGCCCTTAATCACAGCCCTGGGTTGGAATGCACATTCCAACTCTTCCACCCCATCTTGAGAGTATTGGACTGAGAATGTGACGGTCTTATGAGCCTACGTGTACTGGTACAATGTGATGGGATGATCAGTTTCAAATGTTATGAATAAGTCATACAATCATACAAACTACATCACCTTCCAGTTTCTTCCTCTGCCTTGCACACGTCATACAAAAAGGAACCAATTCTTTCACACGATTCCCTAACTGATCTCTGATGCAAGAAAAAAAAAACACAAAACACTCAGTTGCTTTTAACAACATAATAACAAAATCAACCAATTCATAAATGTTTTATATAATCATTCAATCGCTCATGTTTCATTTATTCCCATGAATGTACATCCATGTACAAGTAGCAAAATCACAGACATTGTTACTAACAAGGTGAAGTGCTCCAAATCACAATTCTAGAGGCTAATAAGTTAAAGACACCCAATTAGAAGTTGGAAGATGACTGCTGCGACAACATAAGCCATGGCCAAGTGTTCACATACAACTGTAGGAGTACTGTTAGTATAATATATGATTTGATAAAATTTAATTATACGATTTGACTTCCCCCAACACCTCCAAGCATTTAAGTCTTTGAATTTAGAAAAGATTTCTTTCAAAGGGGAGATTGCTTCCTTTCTGAAAAAAAAATGCAGATTTATAGCTAGTGCAATAATTTACTAGAACCATGGCATGCACTTTCGCACAGCATTTTTTTCACAATTTGTGGCAAGGTTTACTTTTCCCTGACACTTACAGTACAAGCTGATTCCAACCCAGTAGGAGTTGATCGTCCTTCAACAGTAGTAAATGCCTGTGAGCTTCCAGCAATGATTCCTTGTGATGTGTAATATGTTGGATCCATGGATTTCTTTCTAAAGGAAACAAAAAAGGGAAGTAAAACATTAAGTCCTTGTGGACAACGTTTTACACTTTCGGTCTTAAAAACCATATTACTGTTCTATACAAGTGCATGTATGTACAGCATTATATGTACAGATGAAAGTCTACAAAAAAATGTATCTGTTAAATACGACTGGTTAATAATTATATACTGTTGTATGTATTACACACCTTGCAACATCCCTACAAATTGTTATCTTGTCATTGATCTGTTTAGCCAAGCTTCTGTACAATTCTGCTAACTGCTTGCATTGCTTGGAATGAGCACTCAGCAAAGTAGTTCTTTTGGCGAGATCAGATATTTGTCGACCACCTTCAGAGTAAGTTTCCTCTGCAAAAGAGTTAGTTTAACAACATTTACAAGGACAGTAATAAAAATAATGTACTTACATGTTCACCCAAAAAATAACTACAAGTTCTTTGGGCAGCAGACAATGTTGTTTCCCTAGGTACCAGTTGTTAGTCAAAGAGCGTTTAAAATTGTTCCCAACATGGCAAACTTCAGATAAAATACACTGTTTCAACAAGACAAAGACACAAAAAAATATTACAACCTGCTTCAAGAATTTCCTTCTGCACAGCTTTGATTTCTTTTTCAAGATGATGAACTTTGCTTTTGACTTCTAAAAGTTCTTTTGTTAACTTAGAGTGTTTTTCTTTGATGCTTTCTCTTTCTTCATCACTTGGTTTGTCACCTGGATGAGCCGCCATTTCCTGGATTAGCTTTTGTCTAGCAGAAAAGGTTATGTTGTCAAGGGAACTTCAACATTTCATACAGCTTTCAATCAACATGTCTACAAGTGAAATGAAATCAGCCCCTTGCAGAGGAGCAGCGGCCTAATGGTTGGTGCAGTAGACTCTGGATTAAGCACTCCAAGTTTGAGTCCTGGCCGGGGTCATTGCATTGTGATCTTAGGCAAGACACTTTACTCTCATGGTAGCTCTCTCCACACAGGTGTGCAAATGGGTACCCACTAATTTGTTAAATGCTGTAAGGGTAACCCTGTGATGGACTAGGATCCCATTCAGGGGGAAGTAGAAATACTCTTAGCCACTTCATGCTACTGAAACTGGGATAAGCTTCAGCCATTTGGCCTGACATAGATTTTACCTCACCTTAACTGGAATCATGCAAATTTTCCATGGTGAGAATATTTGTACAGTGAGAATATTCTTGTGTAGTCTACATACTGATGTACATTATTGATGGACACTGTTCAATAACAAATACAGTAGAACTTCTGTTTGCCACCACCTCTCATAAGCGGCCACCTCTCCTTACCAGTTTTCCAAAATACCAAACGTTTCCAAGTCGAATCACTGTATTTGGAACCTCTTGAAAGCGACCACCTCTCGTAAGCGACTGTGACCACTTAAGAGCTAAAAGTTTGAAATTTTCTTTTGTTTTTAAACTCTCATGTATTAAGGTGATTCCTTAGTATTGCATTGCACATACCTACTATGCACGATTTTCGCATCATTAGCATGCACATGAGCGTGAGCGCGTACGAAACGTAACAGATTTCCCTCAAACTAAGCTTGATAGTGAGATAAATGCTCCTTTTCTCTTAAGCAAGTACGGTTACCCGCACTTATTATTTCATAATTTCAATGGGAACAATATCCTCAATAACTGAGAAAATAATTGGCAGAAATCTATGGCTTCCTTTTTTGGCAAATGAAATACATACTACAGAGGGAGACATACTGTAACAGGCCCAACAGCGCATGTCCAAATTATGTTTCCTTTAAAGGATAAAAAATGCAGGGTAGTTGAAGACATTTTTTTTCTGGGACATAGATGAATAAACAATCAAAGAAAGTCAAACTCTGTGCGATATAACACGCTGCACTGAAAAATAATCGAGCTTATTTGTTGTGCACGCAGATTACCAAAAGTCACCTAAATAATGGTATTTCTCAGCATTGGGGTGTGAAAACAAGCAAGATGACCCCCTCTTTTGACTACGTTTTTAACATCTCCTTGTCCTGTCACAACAGCGTACCAAGTTTCCTCGGAAATCTATGGCGGGTTCTTTTACTGGGGAATCACCTTAAGTGACCACTTGACAGATAATAGAGCACAAATTGGATATAAGGTGTTGTAACATTATTGCATTCCTGGCTGGTACAAGAGACGGAAAGTACCAGATTTTTTCTTGAAAGTAACTTTTCACATGAATAAAACATTTAAACCCTGGGGTAAGTCTCTGCAATTACCATGTGATAATGAGGCAAACTTTTGACCCAATATGGTCTAAGCTCTCATAAGTGACCACCTAGGCTTGACATTTTGGGTGGTCGCTGACAGGAGGTTCCACTGTACGTTGCAAACTGGCACTGTATGTATTGAAATAGAACAAACTGAAAGACAAAATGACAGTTCTAGATTATGCTACATGTTGCATTCCTCAATTAAAGCAGGGCTCAAAGTTTATTTTTGGCTTTGGGAGCACTTGTGCGACCAGGTGTAAATTTTTAGGCGCACTGCCGAAATTTTAGGCGCACAGCTTCAAATACTTGGAGCACCTACTCGAAAAGAATACTTAACGCTCCAAAAAGAGCGACTCAGGCTTCCTGTTGCAATATGGGCCTATTCTAGCAGTATTGAACACAACGAAAACAAATAAAAGAATCGGGATATTTCACACAAGGGTTATGCTTAGATCAGTTAACTACTGACGTCACTCCGTTGAGTATCCTCACTATCCAATTGCTTATTGTTTGCTTCCCTTTGAAATTCTGTTCACGAACATTCTTGATTTATTCAACATCTGGGTAGAACTAGCATGAACTTTGGCTAGCTTTCAAGCCATAGAACTCATGGACCAGCCCGTTCCAAAAACGCTGGACATTTTTGTATGTCAGACAAGCGAAAACAAAGTTTTCTTTACAAAACGCAGCATTCTGTAACTGTTGTTCGCGAAGAACGAGCACAC